CCTACGGCTAGGTAGAACCACTGACAAACCAACTTGTGCAAGACTTCAGGTATTCCACGGCTAGGTAGAACCTCTGACTAACCAACTTGTAGAAGACTTCAGATTATTTACGGCTAGGTATAACCACTGACTATCCAAATTGTAAAAGACTTCAGGTAATCCACGGCTAGGTAGAACCACTGACAGCTCAACTTGTAGAAGACTTCAGGGATTCCACGGCTAGGTAGAACCACTGACTGACCAACTTGTAGAAGACTTCAGGGCGAGGTAGAACCACTGACTAACCAACTTGTCGAAGACTTCAGGTATTCCACAGCTAGGTGTTACCACTGACTAATCAAATTGTAGAAGACTTCAGGGGATCCACGGCTAGGTAGAACCACTGACTAATCAACTTGTAGAAGACTTCAGGTATTCCACGGCTAGTTATAACCACTGACTAACCAACTTGTAGAAGACTTCTGATAATTTACGGCTAGGTATAACCACTGACCACCCAAATTGTAAAATACTTCAGGTAATCCACGGCTAGGTGGTATTCCCCGGCTAGGTATAACCACTGACTAACAAACTTGTAGAAGATTTCAGGTAGTCCACGGCTAGGTAGAACCACTGACAGCTCAACTTGTAGAAGACTTCAGGGATTCCACGGCTAGGTAGAACCACTGACAGCTCAACTTGTAGAAGACTTCAGGGATTCCACGGCTAGGTAGAACCACTGACAAATCAACTTGTAGAAGACTTCAGGTATTCCCCGGCTAGGTATAACCACTGACTAACCAAATTGTAAAAGACTTCAGTTAATCCTCGGCTAGGTAGAACCACTGACTAACCAAATTGTAGAAGACTTCAGGTAATCCACGGCTAGGTAGAACCACTGACTAATCAACTTGTAGAAGACTTCAGGTATTCCACGGCTAGGCAGAACCTCTGACCAACCAACTTGTAGAAGACTTCAGATCATTTACGGCTAGGTATAACCACTGACTAACAAACTTGTAGAAGATTTCAGGTAGTCCACGGCTAGGTAGAACCACTGACAGATCAACTTGTAGAAGACTTCAGGTATTCCCCGGCTAGGTATAACCACTGACTAACCAAATTGTAAAAGACTTCAGGTAATCCACGGCTAAGTAGAACCACTGACTAACCAACTTGTAAAAGACTTCAGGTATTCCACGGCTAGGTGGAACCACTGACAGACCAACTTGTAAAAGACTTCAGATAATTTACGGCTAGGTAGAACCACTGACAAATCAACTTGTAGAAGACTTCAGGTATTCCCCGGCTAGGTATAACCACTGACTAACCAAATTGTAAAAGACTTCAGTTAATCCTCGGCTAGGTAGAACCACTGACTAACCAAATTGTAGAAGACTTCAGGTAATCCACGGCTAGGTAGAACCACTGACTAACCAACTTATAGAAGACTTCAGGTATTCCACGGCTAGGCAGAACCTCTGACTAACCAACTTGTAGAAGACTTCAGATAATTTACGGCTAGGTATAACCACTGACCAACCAAATTGTAAAATACTTCAGGTAATCCACGGCTAGGTAGAACCACTGACTAACCAACTTGTAGAAGACTTCAGGTATTCCACGGCTAGGTGGAACCACTGACAGACCAACTTGTAAAAGACTTCAGATAATTTACGGCTAGGTATTGCCAACTTGTAGAAGACTTCAGGTATTCCACGGCTAGGTCGAACCACTGACAGACCAACTTGTAAAAGACTTCAGATAATTTAAGGCGAGATATTGCCAACTTGTAGAAGACTTCAGGTAATCCAAGGCTATGTATAACCACTGACAGACCAACTTTTCAGGAAATCCATGTTTAGGTTTGACCATTGGTAGATCGACTTGAAGAAGACTCAAGGAAACCAACGTCTAGGTATTACCACCAACAAATTGACCTGAGAAGGACTTTAGGTAACACACTTCTAAGTTTTACCATTGCCAGATTGACTTTAGAAAGAATTAAGGAAACCCACGGCTTTCTACTGACAGATCGACTTGCAGAAGAATTTAGGTAACTGTATGTAAAAACTCAACGATAGATGTACAGGTATGGAAATGTAGAACAACAACATGCTGTAGGACTTAATCTACTCACGGTTATTTAACTATATAAACGCCATACAGAAAAAGGAAGCGAACATCCAATTGTTTCTGTAGAGTTTCCAAAAGATCTTCAAGTGTCGGTTGGACTGTTGTAATATCAATGGCCATGACTGCTATACTGTCCTCTTTGAAGTGTTAACATTTGTATGACTACAACCCGGACTTCACAGATTTCCTACAAAATCTTGGATTTTGACAGTTGTAGTTTGTTATCGCTATCTTTTAAGATAAACTCAACAAATCTTTCTTATATTTTATATAGGTTCCCATTGGTTGGTATGTAGTCTTGCTTGTTCTATTTTGAAACTGATAAAAATAGGAGAGCCGCCAGGTAGCCATATCGGATTTGGACAGTTCGAAATTGTTATTTCTCGAGCAGTTCTTGACAAACGTTTCTCAAATTTCATGAGTAGACAACCTTTATTCTTTGTTGCACATGTTACATTTTGAGACTGAGCACAGGAAAAAATGGTCGCCAGACAGCCATCTTGAATTATGATAATATACATTTGCTCTTCTTTATAATTAAGAATTACTCACTTTCTTCCAGTGAACCTCCGTAGGTACATCAGTGCAGTGGACGATCGTCCATCGTCTCAGGCGATCGGGTCTGTGGGGGCCGTGTTGTTAGCCATCCCCGTGGTACTGATCGTACTCAGTGACATTCTCAATGTGTTCAAAACTAAGAAAAAGCGACCCCGGGTAAGCTATTCTCTCGCAAAAACAAACAGTTCACCTTGCTATATACCACCGGCGGAGTACAAGGTGTCCGACGGGAAGGACGACTTCCTAACAGACAAAGAACTGCATTACCCTGAGCCATGCACATCGTCCGCTAAGACAGACAATAGAGGTCCGTCATCCGCCCGGACTGACACCCAGAACATCTCGTCTACCCGGTATCACCTACGACAGCTACAGACTGAACCAATCTATAAACATCCGCATAAGACGTAGTTCTAGACAAATAACTATCTACAAACATTTGCATCAGGCGTAGTGACAAATAACTATCTACAAACATCCGCATCAGACGTAGTTCTAGACAAATAACTGTCTACAAACATCCCAATCAGACGTAGTTCTAGACAAACAACTATCTACAAACATCCCAATCAGACGTAGTTCTAGACAAATAACTCCCTAGAAACATCCGCATCATAGGTAGTTCTAGACAAAAAATATATACAAACATCAGCGTCAGATGTATTTCTAGACAAACAACTATCTACAAACATCCCAATCAGACGTAGTTCTAGACAAATAACTACCTAGAAACATCCGCATCAGAGGTAGTTCTAGACAAAAAATATCTACAAACATCAGCGTCAGATGTATTTCTAGACAAACAACTATCTACAAACATCCGCATCAGACGTAATTCTAGACAAATAACTATCTACAAACATCCGCATCAGACGCAGTTCTAGACAAATAACTATCTACAAACATCCCAAGCAGACGTAGTTCTAGACAAAAAACTGTCTACAAACATCCGCATCAGACGGATTTCTAGACAAAAAATATCTACAAACATCCGCATCTGACGTAGTTCTAGACAAATAACTACATACAAACATCCGCATCAGACGTAATTATAGACAAATAACTATCTACAAACATCCGCATCAGACGCAGTTCTAGACAAATAACTATCTACAAACATCCCAATCAGACGTAGTTCTAGACAAATAACTATCTACAAACATCAGCATCAGACGTAGTTCTAGACAAAAAATATCTACAAACATCCGCATCAGACGGAGTTCTAGACAAAAAAATATCTACAAACAGCCGCATCAGACGTAGTTCTAGACAAATAACTATCTACAAACATCAGCATCAGACGTAGTTCTAGACAAAAAATATCTACAAACATCCGCATCAGGCGTAGTTATAGACAAATAACTATCTACAAACATCCGCATCAGGCGTAGTTCTAGACAAATACCTACCTACAAACATCCGCATCAGACGTAGTTCTAGACAAATAACAACCTACAAACATCCGCATCAGACGTGGTTCTAGACAAAAAAACTACCTACAAACATCCCAATCAGACGTAGTTCTAGACAAAAAACTGTCTACAAACATCCGCATCAGACGGATTTCTAGACAAAAAATATCTACAAACATCCGCATCTGACGTAGTTCTAGACAAATAACTACATACAAACATCCGCATCAGACGTAATTATAGACAAATAACTATCTACAAACATCCGCATCAGGCGTAGTTATAGACAAATAACTATCTACAAACATCCGCATCAGACGTAATTCTAGACAAATAACTATCTACAAACATCCGCATCAGGCGTAGTTCTAGACAAATAACTATCTACAAACATCCACATCAGACGTAGTTCTAGACAAATAACTATTTACAAACATCCGCATCAGACGTAGTTCTAGACAAATAACTATCTACAAACATCCGCATCAGACGTAGTTCTAGACAAA